AAAATCTGAAAAGAAATATAGTATCAAAATACAAAAAAGAAAAGAATAGAAAGCCCAGCTACCTAGTTCTACTTACATAGTATGCCATGTCTCATAAAAGGACATCAACTTAAAAAAAAATAGTAATTTGATTTCCTATACTTTCTTCTACTGCCACTAAGTATTTGAAGGTATTTATGCCACCAAAATTCTAAAATTATAGATATTAAAAGTAATCGGACAATAATGGAAATTGGGTAATTGAGGTATGGCCAAGAAATTGTGGTTATGAAGTTAGAAACTCATGAAACACAGAGTGACACCCACAAATAAACCATAGGGGTCTGAATCTTGGGAATTAACCACGGTCATTCCTCTCCCCACCACATACCTTAAGTGAGTCACACAATCCTGTAATGACCCCTCTCCTAACTGCTGCTTCCCTTCTGCCCCTTCTTGAAGCCCCTGGTGCAGGACACCGTCATATTTCACTGGCTGTAATGCACCTCTCTTCAAGTTGGCCTCACAGTCTCTAGACTCTTCCCACATCCTCACTTCCTTTCTTCCTTCCTTCTACTCCAACTCCTTTCTAAATAATTATCCACATTGCAACCAGAACGAAGCACAGCTCAGACTGTGACCCTACCTCCCTTGCTTCATGTTTCTTATTGTGGCTCAGCATTTTATCTTGTCTGAAACCATTAGCTTTTTCAGATTGCATTAAAAAAAAGAACAGTGAAACATTCTGGATAAGATAATACAGTTACTAAAGGTTTTGTGTAAAAATACCTGAGAAAGAAGGAGAAAGGAAATTGTTTAAGCAGCTGAAAATTCTTCTGCGAAGTAGAGTAACACTCGGTATTCAACAGCAGCTTCCCCCCTGCTTCCTACCCAGTTCTCCCAACTAATCACTACTCATCCTTCAAGTCTTGGCTCATCTATCACTTTTTCAAACAAGCCTTTCCTTCAGACCCCTACTACTCATGCTTTCAGTACCGAGGATATGTACATAACAATCACCCCTTCATACATAATTTCACAATTGTGTTATACATTGTTTACTGTCTGTCATAACTGATAGACTGTAAGCCTTACCAGGCTGAGGAAAAAACTGTCTTCTCCACCACTAGATTATGAGTCTTACACATATCAAACCTTTGATAAATTTTGAAAATAATAAATGAGTTAAATGAGTAAATAATTGATCTCCTAGTCTGGCAACAGTTCTGGCAAGTCAGCAGCATCTCTGATAGCTTCCTCCTCAGAAGTAGGCACACATTTCCCCTGAGTTTGCACTGCATACAATGGTGATTCAGGTTCTTGAAGTAATTGACCAGGCAGGCCTCATTCGGTAAACGGCATGCCTGTCAGGTGTCCAGCCTATGTCTGCATTTGGGTCCTAATTCCTGGCGCAAGGCCTCGCCTGAGCAGCAGCATCAATTGGTACAGCCCAGTGACCTCTGCCCAAAGACCCCACAAAAGTAGACTGCAGACAGCCGATATCACAAGGGGGTCCTCAGGAGACTCAATGTTATCAGAAAGGCCTGGATCCTCTACAGTGGTTCTTAAATCTTGCTGAACTTTAAAACCATTTCTTAAGATATCGTTGGTGGCCAGATCATACCCAATTTCAATTAAATTAGAACCTTTGGGTGCTGAACCCAGACATCAGCATATTATATAACTCTCTAATAATTGCGCTATGCAGCCAAGTTTGAGGTCCTGCACCACAGGACCTTGTTAGCAGTGCTCTAGCACCAGGAGAAAGGGCATCACCTGGTAGAGTCTTACAAGGGTATAACTGCGGACCACCAGGACAAACTGAATTGGAATTTGCATATTAAAACACATCTCGGTGTGATTTGCATGCCTGTTGAGGTTTGAGAAACCCTGCTCTATGATGCATGTCCTAAATAACCTTTTATAAAATAACCACACATATAATACATTACTACCTTATGCCTGGCCATTGTCTTTCTCTTCTCTCCTTCTGCCACCTGTCCCTCTCCCCCATCTTTGCTCCAGCCATCTAGAACTATGGTTGTCTGATATGCTGCTGGCTTTTTCAGTAAACTGCTTGTTTTCACAACATAAAAAAATTTTAAATCTTCAGAAAGTTCAGAGGAAAAATACAACTAAAACCCTGTACTCACCATTAATATGCAATAAAAATAAACTCACCATAATTGAGTCCTTTAATAATAAAAAAAATAACATGTTACAAATAAAATGAAAGGCACCTGTTCATCCATTCATAGTTTTATTCCACACCATTTCTCCACAAATGTGCACAAATGATTCATCTAAAATAATAAGTGGAAAGGTATGATATATGTGCAGAAAAGCCAATGGGTGTTTAATTTGTAATATAATGATTTATAAATGTTACTTCATTGATAATTGGCAATCAATGACACATTAGTGGCTACTGCCATCAAAATGTAAATATGTTAATGTCCTGTGGGTGTTGATGACTATTGCATTAATGAGACCAACATTCTGTAAGCTGAAATAATAAGCTTTGAGCTTAATATTCTTATACCTAATTTTATGACAATTACTGCCAACTGAATTCCTTAAAAACATAAAAGTAAATCATTTCCATAAAAATAAATAATTTCCTCCAATCTACCAAACAGAAAGAAAAGCTACCATGGAAGGAGATGTAGAAAAGCAAAAAGCAATCCTGCTCCCATGATCAACCCAAAGACTTATTCTTAGGCAAATCAATTTTAAGAAACATATGTGGGGAATTTGGTCAAGATGGCAGAGTAGGTAAATGCTGTGCTTACCTCCACTTGAGACCATATCAAAATTACAACTAAACTTCGGAACAACCATCATTGACAATCACCTGAAGTATAACTGAACAGAAGCTGTACAACTAAGG